ATAGACTAATGAAGGAATGTAAAATCGTACACGTGTCTGCGCGACGGAGCTGAGTCTATTTGCAGTAAATGGGTCAAGCCGGTCCCAACTTAGATGTAATAACGAATACAAAAAGAGTAAAACGCCCGCGCCGGCCGTTGACCACCGATCGACGTTGATCAGTGCTTAACCATTGATTAACAAACATTAATTATAATATACATTTATTAACATTAATTAGTCTTACGTAAATTAAAGTGTTTTATTCAATTTAATTTAGAAATTCATTAAGGTTTTTTAAATATATTACGATTGATAAGTTTCTGAAATACGTTGTACTTGGGTGGTAGGAAGATCGAAATTCTCCCCGTGTCACAGATGAAAAAGCCGTGCAGTTTAATCGCGTTTATATCTCAGTCTGTGGATTTCCGAATATTCAAAGCCAAGATAAATCGACAGCGCATATGACGTGTAATGACTGGGGTATTTCAGTTACGTGAGCCTCGTGCTTGTCTGTTCTCTTCTATGATAATATAGTAATATCTGTTACTTATAAAAGATATATAATTACTTTTGATAATATTGAGATAATAATTGTCTAAGTCTTAATTACCCACATCTATTTATATGGCGTTAAAAATATCCGAATTAGTCTTATCTTATTAAAAGTGACACGTTTTAGCATTTTGACAGACGCTTATCTTTAGATGCTGTAATGGTTGTCATTTTGCAGAATGCAGAATTTTTTAATTCCTGTCAAATGTCGACAGATTAAACTAGTATCTATACTCTATACCTACTTCTATACAGAGCTGAAGAGTTTGTTTGTTTGTCTCAGGAACTACTGAAATTCAAATTAGTAGTTTTTGTCTTGGGTAGAGCATTTATCGAGGAAGGCTATAGATATAAAACATCGCGCTGTGACTAATAGGAGCGATGAAACAACAACAACGGGAAATGTGGAAAAGCTTCGTGAGTTTCCAATGCGTACGCTCATAACGATTCAAGATATCAAAAAAATATGTATGAATTATGAAATAATACCTCTTTAAATTATTTAAAAAAATATCCACGAAACTATTACCTATCTTTTAGAATTTACTTGCAAGAACGACGGAACGCGACTCTCGTGGGTAACAGCTTATACTTATAAATATGAAGGGGAGGTATGCTAAAATAAATGCTCAAAATAACTAATCTACGCGGACGAAGTCGCTGTCACAGCTAGTCTAAGATATAAGTACACTTTAACACATGGTATTTATCCGTTTGTACGATTGTAGTGTATACATCAAAACTGGGAAAAACTAGTTAGCGGTCTTCGCGGCGCTTATGGCAATTTCTTACACCACTACGGATCCATAATCTCACAATTGATTTGATTGTACGAATAGTAGACTACGCAGTAGTTTTCTCGTTTGGAGGTTACGTGTAGAGTTCAGAGTATCAAGGTTACGCCGTAAAAGAATAGTGGACGACATTGGAGGCTCAACACATAATTTAAATTACATTATTGTACATTTATTATGTACATTACGGAAGTCTCGAAGTTGTTTGCCTTACACGGACAGGCTTTATGTCTCGACGCCTTTTGAATAAATATAATTAATGGCGAGCTTATAGTTTATACTTTTATCCTCGACAGTTTTTGTATGAGCTTTCAAGTTATTTATCTAGGCTACAACTGTGCTACGAGCCATGAATTGTGTGTAGTTTACGTGAATAGTACACTTTTAAAGGTTTAAAACGTGAAATGTATTAATTTATGTTATTATTATTGTCTTTATTGTTAATGGCTGCTGCAAAGCATCCAAAACGTTGCGCCGTAGTTAAAATAATTTGTAAATAAGTTAGAAATACATTTCGCTTTTTAAACCGTTAATAGTGTTTTATTTAAAAGTTAGTAGCCATGTAACATAACAATGTTTAGAATTCAAAAAAAAGAATTTCTTCTAAAACAAAACTTTTCAAATTTAAACTAACGAGTGGTCAATTTAGCTTACGGCAAATCGAAATCTGCCGTTTAATCAGAGCGGCGTTGAGTGGAAGCGGGCCACCGCTGCATCGTCGGGCATTGCATAATATGTCCTATTAATACCATCAGATCCCACCCTCGGTTGACTCACGCCGGAACTAGTGAAAGTTTGCATCGCCATTGTGTAAGGGGATAATTTTAGGCCTTCGCTAGCGAATTAGATCGTGTGCCTTATACGTATTTTGTTAGACTTATTCAGAACTTCGAATGGAATGGCTAATCTACAATAGTAGTAATTTTCTTCATTGACCGTGATACGTAAAATATTGTGGAATGCAATAAAACAAAGATTTATTCGTATTTGACACTAACTAACCCGTTGCACCATATCCGACATAAGCAAAACAATAAGAAAAAATTGCTTTATCTCTTTTAATAAATTCTTTAGTATTTATTAAATTACAAAACCATGAAATTTGGTCTAAAATATCATTGTTACATATCATTATTAAAACTCAAAGTTTATTGTAAAGTTCGTTGGCATTTTAATTAAAAATCGTATATAAATTGAAAAAAATTCGTCTCGGGCAGGACTTGAACCGGCATCGACAGCGTTTCGTGCTGTTGCTCTAACCGATTGAGCACCCGAGTCGAAAATTTTTCAATTTATAATCGATTTTTAATCTATATAGTGTCATCATGTGCAATAACATGTATTAACATATTAATGTTTTCAAACTTTTAAATGTCAGCGAAAATATTTTAACGTAAATAAATATATGGGAAGTGTCTTCTAACAACAATATGTCAGTGAGATGACTACTCTTATCAATATTATGTAATGTGTCCTTCTTGTTTCAAATATCAGAGCAAAGTTCAAGAATACTTCCGTATAGGGACCGAGCCAGTACAAGGTAGCGGATGGAGTCTACGTCATCTACATACGGTTCAAATTCCAATAGAGAAAAAAGTTAATAAAATAAAAGTCTATTGTAGGTTTTTTTAAATCTAATACAGGGGTGGGATTCAAACCCACGACATTGCTTCAGTGTGTATTGGGTTATTAGCGAATATTAGCTCGACCAGTGGTAAGGCGCTCTTGTGTATAGATATATCAACTACTCTGAATTCGAAATTTAAAAAGAACGCTTTTAATTTTCGACGCAGGATTTAAACATTGATACTTGTAGATTGCATGATATAGCCACTATATAAAACACGAGGTTTGTGAATGTTTGTTCATGGATTTGAACTGGATTAAAAAAAGATCGGAACTACTGTGATTTCTGGAAATCGTAGAGATATATTGTAAACTTCATGTATATATGTTTCTAAGGTTTCCTTCGATCGCAATACAGCAATTATTAATTTTCTCTTGTTATGTCATCGTGTGACATAAAAAAGAAAATACGCGCAGTGTGAAAGGAAAACTCTCATCAGTGAAATGCAATACGGAAACGGCTAGGCATTGTTCGTAACAATTGTTTTCCCATTTTCTCGGTCGCGGGCGTCGCTCCCGTTGACCGGGGGCGACCGTGCGTCGACCCCGTCGCAGCTTCTCTGCGATGTCTTGCGCTTGCGCACGCCATGGCTATTCTTTCACGCCCCGTATGTGTTGAGCATTGGGTAGACACAAAATTCCCGATTTTATTTAATTACAGCCTATGTGCCTTATACAACCGAAATATTTTTTACAGTATTCAGACGGTCTCACAACTAACGTAACAAAAACCTTCTCTTTAAAAATGTCATTCCACCCTATGAGACATGGTTTCACAGATAAATTTTATTTACAAGCAAGTAGTTAAGACTTCTGTACCTTCGGATTTGCTTCAAACCCGGGACCTGTTGCGCTTAATGCTATGCAAGGTTTGACCATAGTGCTAAGAAGGCCATCACTCTATCAAAGCACAGGCCAAATTTACTTAAAATACAATTTTAATACCTTATATGTATACATACAATTTTCTTAAAATTCTTATTTTTTATTGAGTGAAGTGTGGCCTCAGCTCTGTCTCAACCATTTTCGTAAATTATATATATTTTACACCGTCAGTTAACAGTTGTGTAAACTTCATTTTTATAGTAGCGTTGTTTTGTCCAGAATGTTTGGATCGTTCACATTTAAAAAGCATTAATATTTACGCGCGGAGTGATTGACAACTGTGGGCGAGAATAACTCGAACGTTCAGAAATATTTTTAAACTATAATTATCCGCAACTGGAAAACAAAATAGTACATATAATACTATTTTGTTTTTATATTTACAACAATGATTTTAGTAGATAGGAACGGAAATTAAAAACCATAAACATTTAAACCAATTTATTTTATCACAACACAACATAATAACTTTACTACGCCTTAATACAAAGTATTTCTCTAATATTAAAAAAAAAACAAAAGATTTTTCACTGTCAAAAAAAGTACTATAATAAATCGAAACAAACACATCGTTATAAAACATATAAAAATTACATTAACGTATTCAAAATTTATATAAGAAAGTTTCGTAAAACATTTTTGTACAATGAGCGTTACCAATTAAGACAATACTGAGAGAATTGGCGAATGTGAGAGAGAAATCTTACACCGTACTTAAACAAATATAATTATTTGATAACAATATGAATAAGTGATTTTCGACATATGATTCAACATATGATTGTATATAATAATCTCGCGAAATTGTAGATTGGCTGTTTTGAAAAATATACTTATTTAAGCGTAGCTAACATAAGGAAATATAGATGCAGTACTGTCCATCTCCTGCTGCAAATCATCCGGTAGATAACAAAATTATAAATAAGTTCAAATAAAAACTAATACATTTCGCGTTCTAAACAGACAATACAAAACATATACAAAGTTACAATTATTACTTATTAACATCGTTCTTACGAAGAATTTAATATTTCCCATTGAAGCTATACAACTAAAAATTGTTCCACGATGGTTACTTATCAACGACGAACTACGATCTTATCATAAACCGTTCAGCAATTTCAAATGAATGAGTAACAATGTTCCCATTAACATAGATCTTTATCTCTCTGTGATATTGATTAAGACTATATGCTCCCCACGCACCATTAGCTGAGGAATATGCCTCCTGCACTCCCAAATACCCTTGCCAACAGGCGCTTCGATCACCTCTGGTACTGGAGAAATGGCAGCGGCAGTTCCTTTAGGCACTGGTGAACCTAACAAACAAAAGACTAGTGAATCCATTTCTAACGAATTAAAACGCGACGCAAAAGTATCTTCGCTTAGACGAGGCACGTCAAAGATGATGATATTGGTGACCTGATGATGTCGTGACCCATTTCTCAATTACGACACCAGAACAAACCTCAAAAGCTCTATGTAACTTATCAAACGAAACAATTATTCTTACCAAGCCCCGGAGGCACTTTCCTCTTCCTTGGTCCTTTTCTCTTCCATATCTCCAGGACATCACTCAACGCCAGGTTCCATTGCTTGTCGAAGGCCACTACAGTTGCATACAGAGAACCTCGTATAGAGTTTGAGTTTCTCGTTATTATCTGTGAAAACAAAGTTTCTTATTACGACTCTACAATATCTTTATCTGAATATGAAATTCCTTTTGTATCTTGGAAAATTCTAAGAAACTCTGAAGGTAATACACGGTTTGTATTGGGTACAGATTCCTAACTTTTAAGAAGCCTTAGAAATTGCACGTATAAATAGCAGAAGTAAAAATCATTACTCCTAAATTCGGCTTCAATGCTCATGAAATATGAGGAGTTCTAGTTCCTCAAAAGCCAAAGCCTACATAGATCAACAGCGCATCTTGCTTAGCTGTTATACGCCTGGGGTCAGTTCATCTTCCATCAAGAGAACCCCAAGCTTGTCTGTCCTCCTATATTAAAAAAGAAGTTTTTTAACTTTTTTTCAACACCAGCCAGTACCGAAATAATTACAAAACTTAAGTGTCTTAACAAAACCAGAAAATTAGGTTAATACCGGCCGCGTCCAGTCTTTACTGCTTAAACTCGAGTACTTCTCCACTCGAGGAGTTGAAGTACCATTTATCTAAAGCACTAGACCTAATGATAGCTGTCGATTACGGAAAATCATTTTATTGTGAATTAATTTCCGTGGATTGAATAACTCGCTCTCTTGTATACCAGTTACATGTAATACTGCTGATCTGAAGAGAGCCTTCTAGACTTCTGTCTGTTTTTGTTTCTTAAGATACAGTGTATCGCTCTATAACAACATTTAAGGGATATAAAATAAATGTTTTTTTTTTGTCGTTACTAACTGAAGATAACATATATCTATATTCCGAATTTAAAATGTTGAGTTCTAAATAAAATTGTTCTTGTAGGAATGTTCTTGATGAAGATCTGCTTTTTACTGCGATAATAAAACGTGTTAGTGTCAAAGAAACTTATTTGAAGTAATTTCTAATCTTTCTATCGTTATCTAATATTATTTCAACTTAGTATCAAGTCAAGCTTATTAGAGCAGGGTTTTCATACTATGAGTAAGTCATTAAATTAATCGATGCTAATTACAATAAACGCTATAAAAACTCAGACTTGTATTAATAAGATTAAAAAAAACAGTACTTGTGAAATATAAAAGGTTTAAATAAAACAGCTTTCCAGCAGCACTCTTGCGTGACCGGCGCGTCGGGCCGTAGGTGAAATATATTGTAAATAAGTTAATACATTTCGGGTTTCGCTCAAAGTGTTTTATTCAAATTGTGTATTACTCGCGTTAACAGACAATGCTCAGTGTAAAGGGTCATAATGAATTTTTTTTTTTGTTTCAGAGGAGTCCTGACACCAAATGTGTTCAAAAGAAACCAACACTTCCATATATTTAGTTCCTAAAACTAAAGAACGGGTAAGTTTTTTTATTAATTTGAAACGCATATGTAATGTTAATTTCCTATTTTGTAAAGAATGTCTGAAATATATTAATAAAATAAAATAACATTCTTATATATTTGTATGAACGAAGCATTTATAAGAAATGAAACTATAAGTAAGTAAGCCAAGTAACACCTAAACATGATGCGCGGTCGATTTATTTTGGCTCTGGATATTCGGAAATCCAGACTGTACCCTAAAGGCGATCACACTTTACGACATTACTATAGTATCTAATGTCCAGATTTTCCAAGCGAAGTCTAAAATGTATCATACATATACTCGGAACTAATTTTTGAAACATTTGATGTTAAGTCATACCTCTAAATGGCTACTACGGTTTATACTAGGCGGGCCCTGCGAAATGGAAGACTTGGAGGAAATGGGATTATAAATATAAATGCTTTAACAAAAATTATTGTAGTGATATCCCAGCGATTTAAAGTTCACATAAAAATAGGATGAAAGACCAAAAATAACTAAGGACAAGCATAAGATACTTATAACGCGCGGGAGGTGAATTGATCTTCGAAAATAACAAATCCACATCAAGGTACCGCGGAAACCGAAATAAAACATAAACAGAACCAAGGACATATACTAGTTTATTCCGACTGACCTATAATTCAATCAGCACTCGCACACATGTATTTTGTTTATTGAGAGACCTTCACACAGGCTTATTTCAAGGTCTCACCAAACTCGACTAGCGTGTTTTATTTTTCCACAACTCGGATACGCTGATGGGCCGTTAGAATTGAGGAAGATCAGTAATCCTGTGATGCTTTACACCACAACTTTTTCATTTAAAATTAAACATGTTAACCGGTTTGAAAGGCGATTTATTCCGATTAAAATCACATGTAAAATCGCATCGTTTCAAACTAGGTAAATCGTTTTAATAATTTAAAATTAAATAATAGGGTTTAGATTTTTATTATTGTTTTATTCCCTGGGGAACTACAGAGACATACACTATAATCCAGAAGTTTCATACCTCATATTCTCACATCTCACATTCATCATTCATTTAATTAGTATTTGCTTTTGCAAATACCAGTTTAATAGAAGGGACTTCTTTAGAATATCAGAATCAAATTCTACCGCTTATACGTGCATAGCAAAAACGAATATGTTTATATAGTTCAGGCCTCCAGCAGGCGACACATTTAGCACCGCCAGGCGACTCGATAAAAATGGCCCAGGCTTCCGGGTTGAAAGTTGTCCTGACCAAGGTCGGAGACGAGGGCACTGCTCTGTCTGACGTCACAGCGCGTCACAGCCATCTGACCTAATGTATGGTAATAAAGTCCTACCACGCTACCCGTTCACGTCAGCCAATTTTCAGCCCAAGTCCATAAACTACTTTATAGGAATAATTATAGACGCACCTGGTGTTGTTTATGAATGATGGATTAAAGTTGAAACATCGTGACAGCATGTAAATAAAATCGATCGTTGAAACAGACACAGAAATATTTCTGCCCTATGTGCCACATAGAGTGGGACTTCATACTGCCACACACAAGGCAATTATCATTAATGTAATAAAGATAAAAAAATGAGGATACAAAGTAAACCTAGTGGTCTAAGTAGTAACAACTAACTCTAACTTTACGTAAGTTAGACTTACAATTAATCAAATAAACATTTAAAAAGTCCAGTTTAGTGTCAGATAATTCAGGTATTGTTTAAAAATTTACAAAACTTCACATTTTAGGTTCTCATTAACAGTAAGACGAATCAATTTAAAGATAAGAATCGTAAGTAATGCTTAAGCGGGAATAAAATGGAAGATTCTCGAAGGAATTTCCTCCATAACACTGGCATAATTTAAGACGTGATCTAGTTTATAAAAACGGCCTTGATTGTCTGTGGGCGACGTCCCTTCACCTGTATCTCTCTTTACAATTGAGATCATCTCGGCTGCCTGTGATTGTAAAATTGCATTCCGCACTCTTCCTACAACTATAGCGCCGGGACAAAAAGAATTACGCAATGTTTATATTTATACTGAAATAGATAAATAGAAAATAGTACACAGAAGTCTGAACAAGTACGTGCCTCTGAACACAATCGATCGGTAGAATAGACTGACATAGGTGAAACGGCATTTCACTACAACGAGAAGATCTGGCGATAAACTCGCCGCCACTCGCTGACACACAAACTTCTATTTTACTAAGTAATATTTAAAAACATGGTGGCGTTAATTTAAACTTTACTAGAGATAGAGCAATTGCCAGGCTCGTTGGTGTAATGGTAGCTGATAATCATCGGGTTGTGGGTCCGATCCCTACCAGGTCCATCATGTTGCTAATGTTTCAATTTCGAATTTTTCTAAAACATGTTAGACTTCGTCTGGAAATCTGTATATTAAATGGCTGGCAGGAATATAGAAAATTTGGCAGGCTCACGATCTACCGTAAAGAGATAAAAGGCGTCAAGTTTCGCGTTTCGGTTTTAGTCAGCCAAAATAGATCGACAGCGAATCTATTTAGATATTATATGGCTAGGGTGTTTCATGTTTCATGTACCCTACGCTCTTCTGTGCTTTTCTATCACAATAAAACCTACACCACAGAATTTCAAGGAAGGACACTCAGCACAGAACAAAAACGCATAAATAGGAGACAATCAAGAATTCTAACAGCAGTTGCCATGAGGAAACATTAGCACTCAGCATGTTTCATTATCGTTCTGTTATTGTGCGTTAGACAGAGGACGCGGCGAGTTATCGCTGCAAAGGTCAGCGTTTATTGAGTTCGATTCCTACGTTCCTAGATTACGTTACGTTTCGCCAAATAGTTGACACACTGAACTACAAACTGAACATCTGTGATACGCTACGAAATATATATGTTTTCAAACATGCTTGCATATTGGAGCTTCAATTTTGACAAACCTTCTTCGAGATAAATCGAACTTGCTGTACCTACTGGTCGAGCAGCGGCCACAATCGGTAATATCTGTCTCTTAAATAAATTACTATGTAGAAATCATATTTGTCGTAAAATTTATAAATAGAACGCTCCTCAACATGGCAACCAAAGAGGTGACTTATCAAAGGTTTAATTTAAATATGGCTGGCACATAGAAAGTAGTATATTAAAAAAAAGAAATCGTTTGGCGCGTAAAAAAAACCATAGTTAATTAGAGCAACAGCACAGAACGCTGTGGATGCCTGTTCAATTCCTTCCAGCGTTGTAATTTTTTAAAATCTAAAATCGGTTTTTATTTTATATAATCTTCATAAATAAACACACAGAACAAACAATGAAAAGTTATTAACTTGTGTACATTTGTACGGGAACACAACTCCGCTTATCCTGATTCTAGAAGTAGAAGTTGAAGGGAAAAGAAACAATTCAAAAACAAAGAACACTAAAGTTCCTAATCAAAACTGCGTCTCATAATTTCGCGTAACGACTTACATAACTGGATCGCGCCCAGCGCCCTTCGCCTTGGTGCTTTGAGCCAAATGTCTCAATTCTATTTATGCTATCTATTTTCGATAGGGAAGAATTATTCGGTATTTCTATTAGAACACCATCGCCCGAGGCTGAAACCTTCCTGGTGACATGATAAATCTATTGTTCAGAATACATCTGGGGCTGTGGAATTTTTTTAACGGGAAAAAC